CAGATCTTTTCGGTTCTTTCCAATCAAAATTATTTGGATGAATACTTCATACTTCCATATACCTATATATATATATATATATATATATATATATATATATATATATATATATATATATTTTTTAATGTCTTGGATTATAACACTTTAATGGCCAATTTTAACAAGTGTTGTCAATGTAAGAAGTTAAAATTACTTGTTTAATTATAAAAACGAACGTCCTCACAGATATAAAACAGGTGTTATAATACAACACTACAAAAACTCATATAATGTTGTTTATAGATTCTCGAGTCTACTGGGAGATTGTATCGCCAAAACTAACAATCAACCAACAACATTAAAATCTTATATTGGTTAAACATGCACCACACTTTCTCGTAGCTTGTCTTGTCATTTTTCAAAGATGATGCGACATAATTATATATATATATATATATATATATATATATATATATATATATAAAATATGATGCGACATAATTATATATATATATATATATATATATATATATATATATATAAATAAAGATGATGCGACATATATATATGTGTGTATGTGTGTGTGTTTGTGTGTGTGTGTCTGTGTCTGTAGGATGTATTTTATCATCTGAAACAAAAGTGAAGATGATGAAACAAAGAAGTGTAGAACCCGTTTCGCCGGAGAAGCGTATGCTCTCTTTGGCTTCCTCAGTTTAAAATAAAGAAAGACAAAACTGTGCGTGAGGAATTTCCGAGGATTAGGGAGAATCATAAACCAAATTAATTACCCTAGCTTATCACCTTACAGAGTGTCAGGTGATAAGCTAAGATAATTAGTAAAATTACTCGTCGTTAATAAATTTTTCGTCTTTGTCTAAGCTTTTGTTTCGAATAATATTATACATCCTACAGACACACAATGTAACACACACACATACACACGCACACACACATACACACACACACACACACACACACACTCAGTTATTATCCCGAAAATTTGCACGTCGGATCAGTTCTTTTAAATCAAATATGTGGTGCAGTTCAATTTATATTACAATGAATCGTTCATATAAAAAAAGTAGATTAGTAAAGTTAATGAGATAAAATGTCGAAATCCTTTCGCAAACAAAATTGTAAAGGTGCACTAACCTACAAATCACTAGATGAATGTTATGATTCTTGTTTTTAAAAATTGTATTTCGCCATTTTATATCATTAACTTTTGTGACGTCACCCCATGGCCTCTCTGCCCCACACTCCGTCTATCCTGCGACGACCAATGTGACTTGGTATTGGTCGCGGCACCAAACGTGACGTTCTAACCCTTTGCTGATTCGGATGGGAATCTGGTTAGATTCGTTATCAGCCTTGTCGTTCCCAGCTCGCCTCCAACGTCTGGTTACCGAAGTAACTGCTTTGATTTCTAGTCTAACCTACCCACATTGTGATTTGATCTTAGGTAGACGAAATCAATCAGTCGCCGGGCCGCAATGCAAGTCGAGTCCGAACAAGGGTAATACCGCACAGGTATATGTAAAAGAAAATAAAGTAACAACTCGAAAAGTTCAAATGTGTTAAAAAAGAATAACAATATTTTATATCTGGTTGCTGAATACAGGACTGATCTTTCTCCCAACCCGCTTATATGTATTCGTGACACTTTGTGTTTGTTAGGCGAGTCTTAACATCTTAAGTTGTTTTTTATTTTTAAGAAACTGGTTTTTGGTGTATCTTCAGGCGATATTCGTAAAACTTGTTTTGGTGGTGTGAGTCTAAGTCGTTCTTCAAAAATAAATTGTTCTTGGTTAGAAGTTGAGGTCGTGATGTGTGGATCTTTCAGTCAGCTTTCTGCGAGGTGGGTCTCAGAGCTCACAGCTCACAGCTCTACTCTGTCTGCGTCTGCCAACTGCGTCTGCCAACTGCGTCTGTGTTACTCACTCTGCAACTGCTTGCCTGTCTGTCGACTACTCGCTGCAACTCTGCTTATATGGACGCCGACCAAAACCGGGGTGGGCTTGTCGGGGTTTGAGGTTCCTTGATAATTCTTAATCCACAATAAGGATCTTCTTTGTTCTCGGACAGGAAAATTTATTACTTACCATTTTTGGAAGTCCTTACTTTCTAGTTAAAGGGAATCGTCCTCCCAAATTCTTCCTTTCTCATATTGGTATCTCACACCAATCCCCTCAGAGGGCGTCAACAGGTTCCCCTCTCTCTCACAGTGGCATCTCACACCAATCACTTCAGGCGGCGTCAACAGGCCTCCCCCCCCTTCTTCATAGTTTACCTTCGCCTACCACTCACGCCACCATTCGGCCAATGAACGCTCAGCAGCGTGGGTGTTTGCAATTATCGCTCAAAGAAAAAAAATTATCTTCTTTCCTTTTTTTCTTTTTCTTTCTCTTCCACGAGCAGACCTCACACGACTCGTTGGATGGTCCCTAATCTCTATCTTAACCGAATTTCATCTGGAGTTCGTCAACGAGATTTTCGTCAAATAATCATTGAGGTTGGTCAAGTTAATCTCTTTGTCTTTTCAATGCCTACGTGTTTCCGTCGCCAAAATCTGTCCAGGCAACAAACTCTTATCATGGCCAGCTCTGACATAAAACAGGTGTTTTTCCCAAATATCTCCGAAGATAGTTAATGGTTTAATCTTTCCTTCTTTTTAACTTGTGAAGGGTCCAGCTGACATTTTTCTCGGTCAGTGCGTGGCCTGATTAATATTATCTCTTAGCATTCTGTTTTGTAGGCCACTTGACCAATTTGAAATTTTCATTATTGCCATGGGCAGACGGCTATCTTTTATTCGCTCCGTCGTAACATAAATCAAATTAAATCCGACAAATCCGAGATCTTAGTTTCTTCGCTAATGAAAATAAAATCTTTACCACTTTTCTTTGTTAAAAAAAATAACATAGCTCAGTGTCTTTTCGTGATAGCTTCTTATCACCTAAATTAATTCTCGCCTTTTTTTTCACGCAACCCTAAATAGTGTCATACTTTACTAATCTACTTTTTTTTATAAATGTTTCATTGTAATATAAATTGAAATGGACCAGATATTACTCTATTTATTGAACAATTTAGTTCATGCCACACTGACTGATATATATATATATATATATATTACAATGAATCATTCATACATTAATTTACTTTTTGTATGAATGATTCATTGTAATATAAATTGAACTGCACCACATATTTGGTTTAAAAGAATGATACGACGTGCAATTTTCCCTGATAACAACTGAGATATTACTCTATTTATTGAACAATTTACTTCATGCCATATTGACTGATATATATATATATATATATATATATATATATTGGCTGCTACTCAGTTATATATATATATATATATATATATATATATATATATATATATATATATATTATTAGCTTATATATGTCAGTATGAATGGTAAAGTCCCTTATAGCTTTCTATGACTGTTGCAGGGTGATATTCATCCCATTTTTCCAGAATGTGATGCCCTGTAATACTGTCATATCTTTCAATGAAAAGACTGTTTATTCTTATCATCTCAATCTTTTTACTCCTTGTGGGTTTGATCTTCACCGTGTGTCCCATACTTTCGACCTCATGCCACATCTAAGGTAAGCTTAGAAAATCAGCATATTCTGGTCGCTTTGACATGGTGTAATTGTTAGCAAGCTTGTCTCATTAAATCAATTACGACTGAGTACTAAGTCTTATCCTTACTACGTGCTCCCTATTTTCGGCCTTGTGCCACATTTAAGCTATGTTTAGTAAATCACTTTGTATTCCAGATACCAATTGGTCAATAGTCTCAACATTTTCACATAATATATATCTTGGGTGTGCACCATTTTTATTATTCTTTCCCCCCAGTCTCAACCAGATTCTTCAAGAGATAAATTTTTACCATCAGAAGATGCAAACCGATGGGTTACCATACAATCAGAAAAAAATGTAATGATAATTACGGGGATAATTACACGGAGAGAAATCGACGTAAGATGTGAAAAGTGCGCAATGGTATTATTTCTTATAATTCACATATTTTAGGGTTGCCAGAAATTCGGCCGACATATTTGTTTGCTCTTTTTGATATCATTCTCAAAGCCACAATAACAACAGATTATGTCGTCTTGAGATGACACATTCTACTGATATTTATCTCGATGTCCACGTATTTGCTTGAGTTCTCAGATGTTTTCAAACATGGGTCTTGGTCAGCTGCATTTCCAACATCTAACCGAAGACGTGTCATTAGAACACGAGTTTTTATTAATATTTGTGACTTGAAAAGGATGAGCCCAAAATGCAAATTACAAATCGGCGATACTAAAATCAAACAAGTACAAAAATTTAAATACCTGGGAAGTGTTCTAACAGAGGACGGAAAGTGTGACACTGAGATCCGAAGACGCGCTGGAGTGACCAAAGATGCATTCCGAAAGCTAAGTAGAGTATTAAGAGACAAGAAAATTTTGTTAGAATCAAAGAAAAGAGTACTGAACTGTTACGTGATATATGTCCTCTATATGTCTATATGCTGAGAATATCATGAACTGACATGTGAGCAATGACGGGGTTTTAGATAAAAGGGAAAAAAGAGGAAGAAGGGCTTGGAAAATCTGATACTCACAGGACAGATCGAAGGAAAGAGGGACAGAGGGAAGCAGCGTGTAACATGTAATTGTTGATCTTGAGTAAATGGATGGTAGAAAAGGGTTTGCGAGAAATAACAAAAAGACAAACCTTATTAAGAGCTACAAGGGACAGGAAGATGAGGAGGGCCATGACTGCCTACGTTCTGAAGTAACATGACACATAAAAGATGATTTGTAAGCAGGGATTGCGTTAGTCAAAATGCTGACCAGTTGCTAACAAGTAAGATATGCAGAGATAAAAAAATATATATAACAGACATGTGCTACTGTTAAGAAAAATGATAACTTATAGTTGGCCCCTATTGTCAAAAGCGAAAGAAAAATTCTGAATGTAGAAAAATAGAAATTAAATTTCAGGAAAGAAAGAAAGAAAGAAAGAAAGAAAGAAAGAAAGAAAGAATAATACGAGGGAAGTAAAGATAGCAATAAAGAAACATGTTCGAAAAGAAAGAAAGAAAGAAAGAAAGAAAGAAAAAAAGAAAGAAAGAAAGAATAATACGTGGGAAGAAAAGATAGCAATAAAGAAACATGTTCGAAAAGAAAGAAAGAAAGAAAGAAAGAATAATACAAGGGAAGAAAAGATAGCAATAAAGAAGCATGTTCGAAAAGAAAGAAAGAAAGAAAGAAAGAAAGAAAGAAAAAAAAAAGTATTTAAAATAAACTAACTCGAAAACTTTTTAAGAAGAGAGAGAAACAAAATTGGAATCTTTTCTGTTAATTCACCCCAAGTAATGTAAAGATACTTATCACAAATATTAATTCACCCCAAGAAATTATAAATTTTAAATCAAAGTTTGTTTTTTATTAAATTTTTGGTACGGGTTAGGAATTTTTTACAATTTAAAAAAAAAAAAGAAGAAAAATCTGTTTTTGTCTTGTTTATTGAGGTTTACGCGAACATTGACCCCAAACTTAGAAATAGTGCCCCGAGTCGCCCACATTTGGGGTCATGGCAAAAGTCAACCCAACCGGCGTGCAACGGAAGAACATCACTCTGGGAGAATTTGCTGTGAATTTTAGTAAGTATCGTCTTTTTATTTTGGGGTGAATTAACAGAAAAGATCCCTTGAGTTAATAACAATAAACATTGAAACAAATGTTTGTCATAAGAAACTGTCTAATATCAGATGATTGGAATTTCCATTATTACTCAACTGATGCCAACGGAAATTTCTGCCAATGTTTTGGGGTTAAGTGGTTATGCAAAGCAACAGCTTCTGAAGATAGATACTTTTTTTTCAAAGTGCAGCTTAAACAGCTGGTGACTTTTGGATTTTTCAAATGAGCATATGATGTCCTTAGCTCTACATTTGCAATGTATGAAGGAGAAGAAGCTAAAAATCATAGAATTCAAGAACATGAACGGAAGGAATAAAATTATTTCAAACTGTCGGAAAGCTGATGTATTCATTAATAATAAATATCACCAGCTATACTATTATTATTATTATTATTATTATTATTATTATTATTATTATTATTATTAATGTAACATCGAGAAGAGATCGATTTAAGAAAAGTATTTTATTAAATTTTTACTGCTCTTTTGAATTTATAAATTTTTAATCAAAATTTGTTTTTTATTAGATTTTTGGTACTCTTTCAAAATTATAAATTTTTAATCAAAGTTTCTTTTAATTTTTGGTATTCTTTTGAAAATATAAATTTTTAATCAAGATTTGTTTCTTATTAAATTTTTGATACTCTTTTGAAATTATAAATTTTTAATCAAAATTTGTTTAGCGTGCCATGAAGTTACTGGAGTTAATACAAGAATGCAACGACACGGAGAGTGGCGATTCCGCTTCTTACATAGAGAAATGATTATGTCAGAGTGTTGGAAGGAGTATACATCTTTGAAGGATGATCCCAATTATATTTATCTGACTGTAAATCACAGTATAAATTTTGTTGACCTAGAAATATCAGCTCACACGCAAATAATCGAAAGTACTTGGCCGAACGCCAAAACGAAGAACAAATCCATGTTGGGGACTCATCACAGGCTTTTATTTGTCTGAATTCCTCTGGAGACTTAAGGCAAAATCTAACAATGAATACATTTTTTAACAAATTTTAAAGGACATTTCTGAAGTTTGGTGTGAATTTTAGTAAATATAAATTCTTTTTTTTATTTTGGGGTGAGTTAATATTTTGGGGTGAATTAGCTGAAACATCCCAGAAGTGTAAACGAAAGAAAAGTTGTTTTTTCTTTGTTTCAAAAATTTACAAATAAATGATATCAATATAGAAATCAAAAGAGAAAGACAGAAAAAACATGAAATTAAAAAAGAAGACTGGATCGGACATTGTGAATTTTCACTCAGTGGAAACAGGCGAGCAATAACTGAACAGTAGTAAATAAAAATAAGAACTAGACGAGATATCCCTAGATATACGCAGTAGAATGGGAATAGTCTACCTCCGTAGATTAAATAAAGGGTTCATTTCATAATTCCCTGTATGTTACCCAGATCGATACACAACGGCCGAAACGTTAACAAGAATAACACAAGGGAAGAAAAGATAGCAATAAAGAAACATGTTCGAAAAGAAAGAAAGAAAGAAAGAAAGAAAGAAAGAAAGAAAGAATAATACAAGGGAAGAAAAGATAGCAATAAAGAAACATGTTCGAAAAGAAAGAAAGAAAGAAAGAAAGAAAGAAAGAAAGAAAGAAAGAAAGAAAGAAAGAAAGAAAGAATAATACAAGGGAAGAAAATATAGCAATAAAGAAACATGTTCGAAAAGAAAGAAAGAAAGAAAGAAAGAAAGAAAGAAAGAAAGAAAGAAAGAATAATACAAGGGAAGAAAAGATAGCAATAAAGAAACATGTTCGAAAAAGAAAGAAAAGAAAGAAAGAAAGAAAGAAAGAAAGAAAAAGAAAGAATAATACAAAGGAAGAAAAGATAGCAATAAAGAAACATGTTCGAAAAGAAAGAAAGAAAGAAAGAAAGAAAGAAAGAAAGAAAGAAAGAAAGAAAGAAAGAAAGAATAATACAAGGGAAGAAAAGATAGCAATAAAGAAACATGTTCGAAAAGAAAGAAAGAAAGAAAGAAAGAAAGAAAGAAAGAAAGAAAGAAAGAAAGAAAGAAAGAATAATAATACAAGGGAAGAAAAGATAGCAATAAAGAAACATGTTCGAAAAGAAAGAATGAAAGAAAGAAAGAAAGAAAGAAAGATTCATTTTATACGACTTATCAACCATTTTCAGGTAATCTAAGGTGATCGTATGAAACCGGTGTTTCAACGTGATGTGTCCCTGGTCCAAAAAAAGAAAAAAGAACGATAAAGAATAAACGATAAATTAAAAAACGAAGGCGAGGAAGGAAAACTAGGAGTGTATACGAGGACGTAGAAAACGAATAAATTTTAAATGAAAAAGAAAGCAATCGAATAAAGTTAAGAAAAAAAGAAGACAAACAAGAAAGTAACTACGACGAAGAAATCAAATAAACTTAAAACATAGAAGAAAATAAATCACTTAAAAACGAAGAAGAAAAACAAAGTAAAAATGAAGAAGAAGAAGAAGAAGAAGAAAGAGTAAGTAAAAACGAAAAAAAAACGAATAAAGAAAAAAAAACGAAGAGGGAGAAATTAATTAGAAAATAACAAAACCCAACAATTCGCAGAAAATGAAAGCGATGTCGACAATATGAAAAGAATGTATGGAAGGGAAAAATAAAACTTAATTAATTTATTTAAAAAGAAAGAAAATGAATATATAAACCGAAATATTTAAAATGAAAGAAATATGACAAAAGAAAGTAAGAAAGAGAAAAAAGAAAGATAGAGAGAAAATCGAAGATAATATATATATATATATATATATATATTTAAGGAAATACTATAAAAGATACAAACAAAAGATAAGTTATATTACAAAAGAAAGAAAGAAAGAAAGAAAAGGTAATACTACAAAAGAAAGAAGGAAAGAAGGAAAGAAATACTATAAAATAAAGACGAAAGTAAGATGCAAATTAAAGGTGCAGATATTAGTGAATTCTTTGCATTTAGACAGAAACACTGGATGAGAAGTTACAGCGATTAGTTTAGATTATGAAGGCAGGGGAAAAAACAAGTGGGTGGAAGTGAGGAATCGTGAATGGGCGGTGTTAGGGGTCAGTGTAAAGGGCAAGGCGGGTAGGGCAGTTTTAAAAGGAAGATCCCAAAATTGGGGTTTAATTGCAAGGGTCTCGTTTGACAAATGTTTGTGCGTGTAGTTCATAGTCAGACAAACAAATGCATCGGAAAGGTCTTTAATAAGGACTCCTACCTCACCCGCACCCCGAGCGGAAGGTGGTGGGGCCAGGAAGGGTGGAGATGGAGTGTAAGAGCTTTCAAGAGGAAGATCAGGCTGAAGAGGGTCGAGATAGAAGGAGAGGTCAGAGAGGTGGAGGCATGTGGAGTAGGTAAAAAAGAGAAGAGCATTGTTAGGGTAAGGGAGGGTGGGGCAGGAAAAAAATGAAGAGGGTGAAAAGAAAGCAAATGGATCTCTTTTACGCCCTATACCCCTACGCCCCTCACGGCGATTACATGTTGAGGCCGGATAATGAAAAGAAAAGTAAGTGATGAACCCTTAGGAGAAAATCGACGGGAGGCGGGAAAAAAATAAAGGAGGAGTGGTATGCGGATTGCTGATGACGAAAAAAGCGGGAAAGAGAAGAGATGAAAAAAAAAATGGAAAAACATACAGAAATAGGAGAAACATTCGGGAAAAGAAAGAAAAAGGAAGAGAATGTAAAAGAAGAAAAACAAGCAAGTAAACAAGAAACAAACAAACAAGAGGCGAGAAAGAACAAAAAAAGAAAAGAAAAATAAAGAAAAGAGAAAGTAAGGGAGAAAAGAATAGCAAGCAAGGAAAAGAAAGAAAGAAAGAAAGAAAGAAAGAAAGAATAAGGAGTTGTACTGCAGTTAAATGTGACAGAGAGGTTTACTTTTGTGCCAGGGTTGGTTTGACAAGTAATAAGAGGAAGGAAGTGGGTAAGATGATGGTCTAAACGGTGGGGCACGGTCGGTTGTCTGTTAATAGTTTAAAATCCTGTAATAAGGCCGTGCTTATGAAGACCCGTGATAACAACAGTGGGTAGCAAGGGCATAACACGAATTACTTGACCTGCAAGGCTTCCAGACAGGGGTAAATTGACTTCCGGGGTGGGAGAAAATTAAATAATAATAGCATTCATGAAGAGAATGGCATTGATAGTGGTGATGGCAAAAATGCTACAAAAGCTATAAAATGATATTAAATAACTGTTTGGTGACTTTGGACATATATTTAAGCAAATCATTTTTTGGTTATTGGGGACGAAAAATGGCGACTAAAATGAGTTAACTAAAAACGAAGACGACAAACACGATTTGAAGAAGAACAAGAACAAGAAAGTGGGGGAGAAATAAATTGGAAGAAGAAGAAAAAGAAGAAGAAGAAGATGATGATGATGAAGAACAACAACAACAAGAGAAAGGATGAAGAAGATGCGGGAGAAGAAAATGTATGAGGAGGAGAGAGAAGAAGACAAGAAGATGAAGTAAAAGGAGGAGAGGAACAAAATTAGGAGGAAAGAAGAATAAATGTAGAAGAAGAAGAAGAAGAAGAAGAAGAAGAAGAAGAAAGAAAGAGTTGGGTAGAAGAAGGTGCAGAAAGGGTAAAAAGAACTAGGAAGAAGCAGGGGAAGAAAAGGAGGAGAAGGGAAGAGGAGGAGGAGAGGAAGAAAAGTAGGAAGAAAAAAGATGATGAGTTGGGAAGAAGACAGAGAAAGAAAAGAAAAAGGAAGAGAAAGAAGCATGGGAAAAAAGATGAGGAGGATAGAGAAGAAGAAGAAGAAGAAGAAGAAGAAGAAGAAGAAGAAGAAGAAGATCAGTCTTTGTCATTGTAAATACAGAAAAGAAGATCTGTCAGTGGATACAAAACATTCAACAGAAGCGTGAAATTTCAATAAAAAAAAATCAAAACATAAAGAAATATCTAAACCTTTCAAAAGATCTGAAAAATAACCGATTATGAAAAAAGCAGTTTTAGTTTTATTTATATATTTATGGAAGTGCTTGGAACGGCTCCGAATAGCCTTGTAAAAAGATTGAAGAATTTAGCATTGCTAAAATTACCTGCCGGCCCTGGATTTACACCATTAGCGATGAACGGACTTGCGCGCATATTAAGAATTAGGTTCAAACCAGAACTCAAGTGGAACTCGAACTTACGATCCATCGCTAAAGGTGCAGGAAAATGGTCGGTTCCCTGTACCACCCCAGTAAGTACCTGACTCTTTCTGACATCCTATACCTTTACAGATTCACTTTCCTGTCGCAATAAAGTCCAAAAAACGGCTCCGGCTCCGGCTATTTTCTACACCCTTTTGCCACAAACGAAACATCGCTAGTATCTCGCTACTCTGTCGCTATTTCAATGGAAAGTCTTCAGATATAAACTATATTCCTCAGTTTCAACATTTCCAACATTCACAATTATAACCCGCTATGCCACACCCATTATAGCTGACCACCCTCATTCTCTTTGTATTCCATTGGTGAGATGTCAGTTCCACACGAGCAGCTTATTTTACCAGGAACGGCTGCGTTTTGAAATATATTTTGTCTGTACATTTGCCATGGAGAGGCTAGCAATTGTTTCGTCTGTGGGACAGGGGTTGCAGAGAAGAAAATAATTAATCGCCCACAAGGCCGCGTAAACGGCTCTGAATCTGTTAAAACTGGACTGTAAGAACTAAACAGCTTCAGCCCAGCGAAACTCCATTTTTGGTCTGATCTGAGTTTTGTAAAGCCTTTACAAAGGCTGGTCATGGCATTTGGAATCGAGTACTTTCTGGAGTGGTGTAGGGAACCGACCATTTTCTCAGTAATTTTAGCGATGGGTCGAATATACGAATTCCACTTGAGTTCTGGAGGTCCCAACAGACCACGTTAAGAGTTCAATCGCTCAGCTAGAGTGGAGAAAATTTGGGATCTGCTCGGTGGTGATGAAACGTTACAAGTTTTGTTTTGAAGGTATTAAATGATAGTTGAAATTTCTGGGGCATGTAATTAGGAAGGAAGTCTTAAAAAATCTGATACTCACAGGAGAGATTGAGTAAAGTATTGCATCAAATACATATCAAAATAGTCAGATCAAGCTGTTTTTTTACATCCTATCCCCACTGAATTTTTTCCCTTTGATTTAAATTAAATTTGAGCAAGCGAATGAATCCTATCCAAAATATAGAAGGAGAAAACCAGAAGATGGAGGTCACATCGGCAGATCATTGAGTAATATTGAAATGAACAGAGGAAAACAGCTCGTAAAGTAATTGATGGGCTTGGGTAATTGGATGGTAGAACAGAGTTTGGAAGAAATAGCAAAAAGACTAAATTTACTAAGAGCTGCAAGGAACGGGAAGATGTGAAGGGCCATGATCGCCTATGCCCTGAAGGGATACGGTACATAAAGAAGGAGATTGATAGAAGCCAGTCCTTCCCCAATTGTGCTGTGATAGCTAGGTTAGCGGAAAGATCATTTCTCTCCTCTGTAAAAGATAACCACCTTAGCAATTTGATCACGTCTTAAGCGTAAAAACAATGCTGTAACTTTTTAAGCGGACATTTTGAAGAAAATATGACAAATATTATAAGTTCAAGTAAATATTATAATGCACCTTATCACTGTTCGCACCATGTCACGATGAACAGTTGCACTCTTTATCTATATATATAAAGTTGTAGCCACTGTCTGTTTGTTATCGAACTCCTCCTAGGGTTTTGGAGATAGACCCCGTTGTAACCTAGGGAAGGTTACTGAATAAAATAAACACACGAAGGTTGGTAATGAACGATAATACTTAGGACAAGAACAATACATATAAGATTCGTCAGCGGCGCGTAGATGAAGTAGCCAGAAGTGAGTCAAGTGAATTCCACAATGAATCCTTAACTGCATACCAACATACAGTATTTACTACAGTATTTATGTGAATGGGAGCATACTCATTATCGTCTATAGGTACGCTACAACAGAACCCTATAACCATATATATTCTAAAACTACATTACCCATCGTATAAGTATATTTCATTTTGATCAAAAGGGGTCCCCCCACCACCACCACTGAATTTTTTCCCTTTGATATAAATTAAATTTAAATTTGAACAAGGGAATGACTCCTATCCAAAATCTAGACGGATAAAACCAAGAAATAGAGGTCACATCGCAAGATCAAAATGAGACAATATGGACGTCAAGTTGAGCAAGAAATCACCAATCAGTGGCTAGTGACTTACAATACATATTTGTTGCGACAATTCAATGTTGAAATCTGCTCATCAATTCATTCAATCAAGTATTGCATCAAATACATATCAAAGGGGTCAGATCAAGTAGTTTTTGCACACACCCCACTGAGAAAAAAAAATTCCCTTTCATTTAAATTAAATTTAAATTTGAACAATGGAATAACTCCTATCCAAAATATAGAAGGAGAAAGCCAGAAGATGAAGGTCACATCAGCAAGATCATTGAGTAATATTGAAATGCATCATTTTTCTCCACAAGTTATAACACTGATTTAAAATCAGTCATCATTTTCTTAGAAAAAATGTGTGACACGAAGCAAGGCGGGAACAATTCGGCTAGTCTGTCTATATTTCTGAGATGATTTATTGTAACTATTTATATTGTTCGGACTGCTGTCTTCATCTTCAATGTCATGTTCATAACGTTTCGTCTGTTGTACGCTCCGACCTTTTTCAGGTAATATACTTTGAACTTTCGAAACGAATCCTTTATTTGTTGATGCTTTTGATTTTATCAAGTATCTCTCAATACATATCAGGATCACCAGGCCAAACCAGATGTTATAACATAGAACCTATGGTTACGCCTAAACATTTCAACAACAAAATGGTGAGACCTAGCCGCTAATCTAACACTGCGCTTAAATTCATAATCTAGCTACCATAGAGGAAATTTCATCAGAGCAATAATGTAAGAAGAAAGTTCCATTCAGACAGTTTTTTTTTTCCAAGAACTGCTAATTTGTGGGGTAGATTCTCGCGTGGGTGCTCCCCTGTTCGTTTGATCAGGTGTCAGAAGACATAGCACCCACTGAGCAAAAACCTTCGTCATACCAACTTCATTGTGCAGTATATTCCCAACACTCTGACGGGATATGCTAATCGTATTTCCTATTTGATTTATAGTCAATTACCTGGCATCCATTACAATGTGTTGAACAAGATCAATGTTATCCTCAGTGGTGGCAGTTGCAGGACGTCCAGACCTTGGGGCATCTTCAAGCCTCTCCCTTCTCCTCCTAAATTCAGCTGCCCACTTTTGCACAGTTGACAAAGCTGGAGTGACACCCCATAATGTAGCAGCCATGTCAGCATGAACGTCCTGGAAGGGTAAAAACATTTTCTGCGGATACATGATAACACAACAGTTCCAACGTTTTTTTCCATTTTCAAGAAAAGTCACTATTAGTTTTGAAGTTTTGTTTGAACAGTCTAATATCAGTTTACCTGTGAAGAAGCAATGTAGTTATTAATAAGAGTTGACATTAATGCATGCAAGATTTTACAGCTCAAACATCACTCTTTCATAGTCATCCTATGAACTTTTCAGCCCACCCTCGTATTAATAAGAAGAGTTAAAATAAAGTATCACTACTTCATAGTCAGCCTATCAACTTTTCAGCCCACCCTCGTATTAATAAGAAGAGTTAAAATAAAGTATCACTACTTCATAGTCAGCCTATCAACTTTTCAGCCCACCCTCGTATTAATAAGAAGAGTTGAAATAAAGTATCACTACTTCATAGTCAGCCTATCAACTTTTCAGCCCACCCTCGTATTAATAAGAAGAGTTGAAATAAATTATCACTACTTCATAGTCAGCCTATGAACTTTTCAGCCCACTACTTCATAGTCATTCAACTTTTTCAGCCCACCCTCGAAATAAGAAGAGTTGAAATAAATTATCACTACTTCATAGTCAGCCTATGAACTTTTTGGCCTACCCTCGGTCTATGAAGTAAAATTTACCTTAAATTTTTTAATACTAATTCTATATTATAAAAAATCTGATTCTCTGTCCGCTACACACAGTGTGTGTGCGCGCGCGCGTGCGTGCGCGTGCGTGCGCGTGTGTGTGTGTGTGTGTGCCTTTACTTGTAACATGTAAAAGCCCATGTAAATTTACGTGAAAAAGCACAGGGAATCTACGTTACGCCGTAATATAGCTTCCGTTTGCCTTTTCTATTAATTACTTTCACAATAATTGTACTTATGGACTTTCTTCTATGGTACTTGGACTTTATGAATTTAAGCTCAGTGTTAGAACGGCAGCATGGTTTCATCATTTTACATGTGAAATGGTTAGATGTAACCGTAAGTTCTATGCTGAGAGTTTCTTCTCTCGCACTTCTTGCTTGCGGATCTCTCTTCGGGCTTCTTGCTTCCCAATCAACTTTGATCATCAAAAATTTAAATGCAATGTCAATCGTTATCTTCCGTCTTCTTAATTCTTGTTTTTGTATTGTCTTCTCTCTTTAATAGTATATTTTTCTCATATTCTCTCACACACCGTAACCTTTTGTGATAGCAACTACAAAGATAACGACAATAGTCCGAATATAACTAATATAAATAATGATAACTCCTCATCCAGAAGTTCAGACAGAAATATTTTTAAGTCTGTCATTGAATTAAAATAAACGTGTGCACACACAAACACGCATACAAAACTCAGTTTGGATTAAACTGAAATGGACGTCAGTGTCGCGAGGTTTAAATACCGTTTCTGTCTGGTAATATTCCCTGGGTAACAGGAAATGTGCGTTATTTTATAGTCGTTTCCGTAGATTTCTTCTGTATTTAAAGTGAATATATATTTCTAATAAATGTAGTATTTTAAATGGACAAACAATTTGGATTTGAAATTTGATCATCTTGCCGTCGACAGAGCGACAGGTATTGAACTAGTATTCGTGAAAAGTAAAATGTCTGCTGTCCCATATGAGTCTCTAACGCACATTACAATAAATTTAAATGTTTGTAAATTGGTCTATCTCGACCCTCTTTCCAAACTGTCAGTCTAACGCCGACAAATTCCCTAGATCCGCAAGTGCATTTAGTATGTTTATTCTAGTTTGACATAAGCTGAAGACATTTAAAGCCCTTCCCCCGTGACGGTCAGTTAATTTCTCCAAATTATACAAGATTTATCAAGAGATTTCTATTACAGAAATGACTTAGTAATTCGTGATAATTAATCTTTTATTTAATTAATTCAACATGCGATATTCATTTGCTGATTTGCGAAAAAGAAAAAATAAAGACGGAGAGGTTTTGTATTTAAGCAGTTAAAATGGTACAAGAAGAAGAAGGAGGAGAAATAGAAAGAGGAAAGGAAGAAAGGGAAGAAAAATGTGATGAAATAAAACAAAGGGTGAAAACGAAGACAGTGGTGGAGAAGAAGAAGAAGAAGAAGAAGAAGAAGAAGAAGAAGAAGAAGGGGGGGAGGAGGAGGAGGAGAAAGGGAAAAGAAAGAAGGTGATGTAATAAAACGAATAGTGAAAACGAAGACAGTGAGCAAGAAGAAGAGGAATAAGAAGAAAATAAAATCAAAAAAGATTAAAAAGATAATAAAAGAAAAAAGATGGAAAAGAAGAAAATAAAAACAAAAAAGATGGAAAAGAAGAAGAAAATAAAAAACGAAAATTAGATGAAAAAGAAGAAGAAAATAAAGGAAAAAAGATGGAAAAGAAGAAGAAAATAAAAACGAAAATTAGATGAAAAAGAAGAAGAAAATAAAAACGAAAGAAGATGAAGAAGAAAATAAAAACGAATAATAATTTTTTTAAAAAAAAGCAAAATAAAAACGAAAAAATACAATTGAAAAAATGAAATCTGAGAAAGAAAGTGACAAGGAAGAAAATAAATACGGAGAAGGTGAAGTAAGTCAAAACGAAGAGAGAGTAGAAACTAAAAAAAAAAAGGAAAAAGAAAATAATGAATTAGAGGAAAATGGCGAACAAGTCAAATCAGTGCAAAAGAAGAAAGAAACAAAAAAGAAAGAAGAGAAGCGATGCAAAAAAAAAAAAATAATCATTGAGAAAGAAAAAGAGAAGGAAGAGGTTGCTAAAAAGGAAAAGGTAAATTTGAATCTAAAACTTCAGAAAGAGACTCAATAGATAGACTATGGTGGAAGCGAAGAGAGAAAACGTAATATCAGAACGCCGAAAATAAACTGGAAAGAGGTAAATATCGAAACAGAGTCGAACGTGATAAACAAAGTAATGCAGAACTGGTAATTTGTATTCTAATTAGCTACTAATATGTCAATTAGGAGCGGCTATATTATTGCAGTGACACGACCCGGATGATGAGGCGAGACGTATAAATGTGTCCTAAGGGATCCAAGTGTCAAGGCTGGGATTAATTAGAGCGTAGTAAGGAGAGGGGTTGAGTATGGAGAACGTACGAGGAGAATTGCAAAAGAAAGGATTTAATGTAAAAGAACCAAGAATGGGTAGGGTGGCAAAGGTGGCCCACCCCTCACCCAACATTGTCGCCTTTTCTTGCCCGGAAGAACAACAGTCATTTTCGAACTTCCTTGATTTCGATTTTACATGTACGATATTTGGGCAAAATATTCATGTCTGTCTTTAAATAAGTCGGATTCTGCAGTATATATATATATTTAAATAAGTTTTTCGTGGTACAAAATTTATTAATAGATAGGAAAAGACAATATTTATAAGGCATTTTTTTAAAAGCTAAAATAAAAACAACCGGTTTCGTCCCAGGACTTATCAAGTTTATTTATTTGGGGAATTTAAAAAAAAAGCGTGTAAATTAATTTTAAATTAACGAATGTAATGGAATGAGGGGAAAATGATGAATTTCAAGAAACTAGTGTCCAATAATATTCAGACCCAGTAAGCATTCTCTCTGTTTCCAAAGAGATGGCTCACGGGATCTGATATACAAGGACTCTAGAATCTTGAGGCGAAATATGGAGTGGGACCTAGATAAAATTATAAATCGGTCACCACTAAAATTTTCCACGCATTTCCTTCTATTTATTAAATGTTCAGCAATAGCAGAACTGTTGGTTATTCCTGGAGGACGGATTCAACCTCTTAGAGACTTTATCAGTTCACTGTGGAACAATCCCTACCAATTACAACATATCTTTTAAATATAGTGATTTTCCAAGCGTAGCTTAGACGTGGCACAAGGCCGAAAGTATGGGGCACCGAGTGAGGATCGAACTCACTACACAGTCGTAATTGTCTTAGCTAGACAAGCTTGCTAACCATTACACCACCTCGAGGTTCCCACATATCTTTTAAATATAACAGACAATGAATGTCTATTATGTTTGATCATGAGCCGTTCTAAACTTCGTACAGTTGCTTTAATTTCGGGTGAAAATAAAGAAGAAATTGTCTAACATTTGGATATTTTTATTAAGTTGTTCCTTGATCTAAGTTTTCGGCTCACATGGGCCATCTTCGGAGTGGTTATGCGGACATTTAAACAAAGATATTCACCATCAAAGATGATATTATGTTGTGCTGACATAGAAGATTGCTATGCGACGATAACGTCCGCTTAGTAGTAGAAGCAGGTCGTAAATTCATGATGCGGTCCTATGATGTCATAATACATGAGAGACCGAAATATTAACAACAGAACAATATGTCTAGATGCAATGTAATATGTTGTGATTAATTTGAAATATAATTTTGTTGAGTGTGTGTTACTTCGTTTTAATGTAAATGGCCTCCAATATTTGAGGGTTCTTTTTACTGTGTGTATGTGTGAGTATACTGTTTTGTTATCAGCTAATATCTGTCTGATATATGTATTTTCTTTTCTGAAAATACGGTGTTAAAAACTGTCCAAATGTTCTATAGGTCCATGAAACTTATATTTATATATATATATATATATATATATATATATATATATGTGAAAATATATAGAAAATAGGAAGGAACTGGTTAGGTAAATAATCCAAAGTCCCTTTGTGCCTCCATGAAAAATTGCACATCATTAAACTTCTAAATAATAATAATCTATTAAATAATAGACACGAGTTAACGGTTTTTTGTAGGCATCATCAGATTTTTGGTTTGAATTATTAGATAAAAAAAAAAAAAATTTATATAACTTGTTTAACAAATAGCCCAATCATCAGATTCATAGTAGGAATAATTAACTACAAACATGCATACTACATAACACACTTCATAATCCATAGCCTAAATTAGTAGTTTAAATACCTTACATATAAGATAACCCTTTATGAAGTCGTCAAAAAACTAAACGTTACGAAAGTTTTTCTTTTTTTTTTTTTTTATATGCACAATTCCCTTTCATAATAAAATAAAATAAAATAAATAAATCTCCATAGACAAGCAAACTAGACGATGGCCAATACATCTTCCGTTTCATTTTTGACACCCCCACCTTTCTCCGACTTGACACCTTGAAAGTATCTCTATACCGCTACTCAATATAAACACCCTACACTCGCCTACCCAATTTAGAAAATTCACCATAGCTGTTACCATGGGGATTTTGATTTCAATTTTAAAACAAGTAAATTTCAGATATACGTTATTCCAACAAAAATTTCGCTTGAGGATGGAACGGAGCCCATTTTACTTTCAACTCAATTTAATTTAAAGGATTATATTGAAGTTTTCGGCTCTAGTTTTGAAACATGAGACCTCTTATGTAGCGATTTGGAATCATATTTTTAAATAAATAATTATATATATATATATATATATATATATATATATATATATATATGTATATGTGTGTGTGCGTGTGTGCGTATGTTTCAATTCAACAAAAACATTACTTTAGTGAATGTAAGTTCTTCTAGAGGACGAAACATGTTGCACAGATTTTTTTCAACTTTGACATTCATTTGACTATATATACAGTGGGGGAAATAAATATTCGTATACCATGAATTTTTTTTTAATAAACATAGTTATAACTTATAAAAAAAAAACTTAACATTCAATATTTCTACACCGTTGCATAATGCTGCAATATGCAAAAAAAAACAATTAGAAAACTTTATTATAAATTAAATTAAAATCTTGAGGCGAAAAAATATTAATATCAAAAGGCTTAAATTACCTTCATTTACATAATTTAAAAATGTAAAATTTTGCTAGATTCTTCCAATTATCCTATTACAATCTAGAACATTCCGCAGTTCATTTCTTATATAAGGTTATCTTCGCATACAAATCATACACAATAATTATCATCATGGAGAAATGCAAGGCGCTATAAAATTCATAAAAAGAATTAATCATCAAATATTGAAAGGAAAGCAAAATCTATAGGAAAATAGCAGATATCCTGAATATACCATTTACCACTATTAGTTCCGTTATTGCTAAGTATAAAAAGGTGAAAACTGTTGGGAACAAATCGAGATCTGGTGCACCACGCAAGATTTCTTCCAGATCTTTGAGAAGAATTCAGCGCAAAATTCAAGAAAATCCAATGACTACTTGGAGAGGAATACAGGAAGAATTAAAAGCATCAGGTATTATTGTTATGAAGCGAATAATAAGCAATGAACTTCATAGAAGTCAACTAAGATCGCGTTGTCTAAGAAAAACTCCATTACTATTGAAAAAATATAGGGATGCCCGGTTAAAATTTGTTTGTGAGCCTAAGAATAAACCTGAATCATTTTGGGCAAGTCTTTTATGGACAGATGAAGCAAAAATTGAATTATTTGGGCGTAATTCAAGTACTCACGTTTGAAGAAAAGCTAGCACAGCCTTTGCACCGATGGACACAATCCCAACAATGAAATTTTGTGGTGGCAATATCATGGTTTGGGGATGTTTTTCTGCTAATGATACAGGTAATTTAAAGACGATAGATGGTAGAATGGATTTTGCTAGATTCTTCCAATTATCTTATTACAATCTAAAACATTCTGCAATTCATTTCTTATATAAGGTTATCTCTGCACCCAAATCATACAAAATAATTATCTTCGTGGGGAAAGGCAAGGAACTATCAAATTCACAAAAAGAATTAATCATCAAACATTATAAGGAAGGCGAAATCTATAGGAAAATAGCAGATATCCTGAATCTACCATTTACTACTATTAGTTCAGTTATTGCTAAGTATAAAAAGGTGAAAACTGTTGAGAAAAAATCGAAATCTGGTATACCACTCAAGATTTTCTCCCAATTTTCCTGTAGTTACCGCTATAATTTTGATGTCTTGTATTGACGTCCTTATTTGCAAAATATGGCACGTTTATACGTACGGACAAAAATAATTTAAAATTCTTTTTACAATACTGAAGATCGACAAAATATAGCAATTTTTTCCATTTATGATTATTAAATATAGATTTTATTTAATAACAGTATCGCTTGGCAGCTATAAATTAATATACATGGCTGAGACAGGATCCATGGCACCATAAACTATGGATCGAGGAAGACCAAAATCCACTCATAGGCCTGACCATGAGGAACATTTTTACATGGCCTTTTGGACATATGTTTATACGAACATTTTACCTTCTTTTGGTTTCACGAACTCACCCCAAAGTTTGTAAATGTATTTTCGATACGCCCTATATATATATATATATATATATATATATATATATATATATATATATACACACACACTTCAAGTGGCCCTAGCGTGTCATACATCTGACAGATACATCTTAGGCTCCAACACATTTTAATTACATTGTTCGCGATGCACTGGCTGTCATCTATCATGAAAGATGGATGGATATGGGAGGACCGCTCCCATGACCAGCACGTTTTCCCAACCTCTATCCTTTGAATTTTTATCTGGGGGGGGGACCTAAAACAACTGGTTTATGCAGTATACATTAATAATGCAGAGACGCTTCATCAACATGTCATGCGGGCCTACGAAACCATTCGGCACAGTGTAGGAATATTTAAAGGGGTCCGCCAGTCAATGATCCGACGGGTGCATGCGTGTATAGTAGCCAGCGGAAGACATTTTGAATATTTATTATGAGTTGCTGTGTTGAGATACTATCATGGCCTTTTAGACATATGTTTATATGGACATTTTACTTTGTTTTGGTGTGAGGAACCCACTCCCAAATTTTGTAAATGCATTTTGATACACCATTATATATATATATATATATATATATATATATATATATATATATATATATATATATATATAAAGGGTATTCCATTTACTTGGACCGATTTTAAATGTGAATGAAGTTTAAGCGTTTAATAATTTTTCTTTTTTTTTCTTTCAGATTTAACTTAAGTCTTTGGTAATTTCAACTATAGAAAGATTAACAATCAAACAACATGTTGAAGTTATCGAATCCTATTACGAAAATGGACGTTCAAACAGAATTTGAATGAGAACTTCCCATGTTGCACCATTCTTGAAACAGCAAAGTGAATTGGCCACCATGCTCGTGCGATTTGACACCTTTAGATTTCTTCCTTTGGGGTAATTTCAAAAGTAAGGTCTATGCCAACAAGCC